CTGCTGAAGTTTATCTGCACCTTTCCTTAACTACCAATGATATCTGTCAATGATTGTCTTGTCAATCAACATAAAACTTCATAAGACAAGCCTGAGAATTGGCTAACCTTGACAACTACAACTAATGAAGGGGGATTCTTGAATGATATGACACAGATTAGAGTAATCACACAATGGTCAGGAGAAAGCGTGAATCAATCAAGGGGATCCACTTGACGATGAGATAAGTATCCATCCCAGCTGAAAGAAACATTATTTTCATCTACATAGGTTAGGAAGTCCTTGAAAGACAGTGCTGAAAGGAACCGCCTAATTTTAATGTAAAATTTTCCTATTCATTCCCCTGACTTACAAAATCAGAGGAATGTGCAAAAGGCAAGCAAATAATTGAAAATCATTGAAGCCATCACCTGGAAGAAATGAAAAAGAAGGCTCTGCCGGAGTGGGGCCCCGCTTCTCCCGAGGGAACCCGAGGCGGACGAGCACGATGAGTTATAGGCAAGATTTTCCTGGCATGCACTTGAAAAATATCATTCAAATTGATCCTTCTGAAGCAATTTTCAATCATTCAAAAGAAAACAGGAAATGATAACCGACAGGGGAATGAAATGCCTGCCATATGCCTCGTTCTAAGGCAGAGACCGAAGGAAAATCCAAATATACTTTCAGCAAACTGCTGATTCAACTGCCATTTACTGGAGCATAGTTTATATCAAAACTATCTGCAGGCAAAGATCAGATTGAAGAAGTAATTCCGACGCTTGAAAAGTTAATGTGGTCTAGAAGATATGAAACCTTTTTTACCTATTTCATGAAATTGGCAACCGTTGTGCTCATTACATGGAATGAGCAATGTCGTTGCGAAGTAATTGCAACAGGCCAAATAATGCCACTGATTGCGCGCTCTGAGCAACAGCCGTATTTAATTAACTTTGTTGAAAAATTGCCCCGCTCATTAGTTGCTTTCGTCTCAATTTATGAGTGCAGGCTCATTCCGCAGAAATGTTTTCACAGATGGAAGGTAACAAGACAATTATTGGCAGATGTATAAAACGTGGTATAAAACTTCAGAATTAATAAGTACTTAAAGCAATGTTCACCGTTGTTTTGTTTGCTGTTAGTGACTCATTGCCAAAAACAAATCTCTTGTCTGATGCCCGATCCTAGGCGAATGATTGGGTGGATCGGGTCTCGTCGTGTAGTTGCCCAACACTTCTTCCCTTCACTGGGAGGCCCACGGGGCTGAAGCTTCGATTTCCCCAGGGTTGCAGAGAAAACAACTTATTACCGGATTTTTTTTTGTGAGTTTCAATCTGGTAAGAAAAATTGTCTTCCCCCTCTTCTCCCTTGTGTGAGGTGTTTTCGGAAAAAGTATTCAGACCAGAAGAAAGATATTGACTTGTAGGTCATAAAAAGTGGGATTTCGTTTTTTTTTGTGATAATGCAGTTTTAAGAATACATAAAAATAGGCGTCTTTTGTTTAGAGACAATTGCGGACTCCGTCCCGTCACCCAGTGTTGCCGGATATCGTGCTGGGGTTGCCGGATTCATGACTAATTCCGCCTTCGTATCGGTGTCCGGCACTTCTGTTTTTCTTTTTTGATACATTTTTGCGCCGAGTTCATGGGATGATCTCAGACTGAAACAGTGATTAGCAGTCAGCCTATCCATGTGGTGGGATATGGAAATATCATATATCGTGGTCGGAAATGCACAAATCAACAGGATGGAGTCCAACCTGCTTTTCAACTCCAGTTGCATTCTGAAGGCATTCAAGAAATGAAGATAAGCCCTACACATCTCGGATATTCTGAATTCTGAAGAGGCCTTTACGTTGTAGTATTACATTATTCTCAGTAGCAGTGATATTAATAAGTTATCATCATGCTACAAAACCAAATATTCGTTTTCTCTCTCTTGTGCCAACTGACCAGAAAACTACTACTGCCTTTACCAGACGAGTCCCCGGAACCAGGGGTGACCAGTTATCAGCATCTCGAAATTTCTTCTCCCTCAGGACATATACACTGCGATGCCAATTCCATGAAACTATTAAGTAAATTATTGATGCCTTGAATTGTGTTCAAGAAGGAGGAAAAAATTACTGCTACCCCGCAGAATGGGTGGAATGAGTGGATTTTCAAGTGCAAGCCTGAGTTCCACTTCGTCCGTCACCGACAGATAGCAGGGGGAAACTATCGTTCAACTCGTGTTCGTCGTGCTCTTTCCACGCGCACTCCCTACGGGCTTTCTGAATGAATAAAAAAAAATGTCATTAAGCAAAATGAATGTACTGTATCATCGTAGCTGAAGCTCACCTCGCCCAATAGAAGAGACACTGAAGTGAAAATTTATATGCACGCTTAGCCCATTTAAACCTGAATGGATGTTCAGGGGTGATTTTGATGGATGGGGAAGAAGCAAGCACTATCTGGTATTTCATGCATTTTTAATTTGCTTCTTACGTGTGAACGAGGTGAACTTCACGAAATGCGAACGATCGGTTCGACTGAGTCATTCTTGAGACTTCGTTGCCCAATCCGTCATTCCTTCACATGGGAGCAGGGGCTCATGTGGCAGGTGGCCATGCACGGGAAACCCGAAGTTGAGCCTTGAAAAGGCTTCAGGGGAAACATTCTCTTGGCTGCTCTAGTAAAGGTTCCCAAAAGCTGGCGTGAGATGGCGCTCATGTTGTCACGGCGGCGAGTCGCTTCAAGTTTCTACTAAAATGAGTCACCCCTACGTCCGCAACAGTTATCGATGGTTTCACGCATAGAACTCAACGGAAGACAATGGAATGCCTCCACGCATTTATCTGATGCGGTAACAGCGAATAGGGATACACCAGGAAATTCCGGCCTGCACGTTGGTGGGAAGTTGGTTTGAGGCACAGGTGCAATAAAGTTTTGGGGGCTACTGGAAATGGTTTAGGCGTTTTCGCACATAATTTGCAGATTCTTAGGCTCCTCGCTGAGAATCTCATGATTCACAAAGCACATGTATTGGGCTTGAAAGAATTATTGTCCCCTTGCTATGCGTCTTACAGTAAGGCACTCTCGATTAATTTTATCCTCTGTATCACTGAACAGAAATCGTGAAACTGAGATACTCATAATTTTTGGTACGTAGGGAGTCATTAAATGCTGAAGTTAAGCTTTTTATTACAGGGAAGAGTAGAATCCCAACCCCACAAGTACAAGGACATAACATTTACATTCTTATATTCACGTCACCAAAGTGTACGCGTATTTTACATCAACTAGACGTCGCTTCATCTGACGTGAAGTACATGATATCAAGTTTATGCAAAATTAACGTCACACCATCCATATGAAACTTCAGCTGACCATCCTACAGATGCAGTACCAAGATTCCTCACTAGATGGAACCATTGTTCCCTGCATCCTACAAATACTATTAAGTACTGGCTTTCCTGATATAGTATCAGGTTTTCTTATCATCTTTTTACTCTTTATTATGCAATCCATGAATATATATATGTGGAAAACATGAAATTATAATATTTTTTTAATAATAGACGACTTAGGGAGTCATTAAATGCTGAAGTTAAGCTTTTTATTACAGGGAAGAGTAGAATCCCAACCCCACAAGTACTACATCTCTATTCTAAATGGAAGAAAGCTCCTTTGAAGGTCTACTTCTCCTCCCGAGGTTCCGATACGGGAGGAGGAAGCAGTAGGTCATATTGGTACTCTCGACTGCTGGTGAGGTCGCGTGTTCCTGTACTCGTCCAACCACCCTAGGGTTCTATAGTATGGAAAGGAATAGGAGAAATACAGTGTATCAATTCTCTTCAAAGGTATTGATTGGCTCGTTAAATACACATGAATTCTAGGGGGAAATTAACATAAACCTTACATACATTAATGAATGTGAAGATGCCGTTTGGAATGCAAACAGGAATGTCAATTTTACGTAAAATTGGCGTTAATTTTATACCACCGTTTACGTTTACAGAGGTGACATTTCTGCAAACATGTTGACATTATCTTGACAATGGTTTGCGTAAAAATGATTTAAAATGGACCAAAAATTGACATTCATTTTAATAAAATTAACGAAAACATGCTGTTTGGGGTGTGATCGGCCGATGCCGCGTCGCATCATTTGTGAATGGTTTCTCCCCTGTGGCGGCTTCTCAGGGGAAGCCCTTCCCCGAAAGACCTTTCCACCGTCTGCCACTGCCTTTGCACCTTACCTACAGCCTCGTGTACGTCAAGGGCCTGAAGGAGAAGATCTCCGACGACGAACTGAACCGACGGCTCCACCGTCGTCTAAACGGTTACGCGGGCTGCATCGTTCCGCGCTCCCTCGAGAAGGAATGCACGTTCGGCTACGGCTACCTCGCATTCGAGGGAAGGGGAAGCGCGGAGGAGGCCGTGGGTCGACTGGCTCCGATGGGATACCACATCCGCATGGTGGATGGGCCGGAGCTGGACGACTTCAAGATCAGGATCTCCGATCTCCCCGGCTCGTGGACCAGAGCGAATGTGGAGGCCCTGGTCAAGCCTCTCGCACCCATCGTGCGGTGCCAACTGGTCAGGAGGGCCTGGGAAGGAGACAAGCTAGAGGCTTTCGTCGAGTTAGTTCCTTAATTCTTCCCCTTTCATGCAAGTCATTCTCGGTATCGAGCGTTGTTTTCCATTGCTTTACCATCAGAGTTGGCCAGATCTGCAACGTACGAACGCTGATTCGATTGCTGTCCGGTCGCATGGTGCAATGGTCTCCTTTGCCCATCGAAGCCAGTCTGGCACCGAAATATGGGGTGAGTAAACGGGACCTTTGGGTCGACGTGGCCATGAGGCAACTCTCCCGTGTCACTGGAGTGGATGGAGATGTCACCGTCGAGCACCAGTACGTCATCAGACCGTTTTTGGCCAAATTTGTCCCGAACCTCGTCACGAAAGACAAAGAGAAGCAGAAATAATCGCTAACAGTGCATCTCGCGATGTACAGTTAGCTCATGGATTCAATTGGATGGTTCTCTCTCATAAAACATTTAACTTCTCCTAATTCCCTCCACCATTTAATCTATAAATAAAAACCTTTTCCCGTGCAGAAGTCCTTATTCTCAGAGACAGCAGAGTCAAGAGGAAATCAGCTTTGGCACAACTGCTCTAAACATCGTATGTTTTCACCGACAAACCCGTCTCTGAATTCTCCTCTCTGCAACAAAATGATTTCGCTTTTTATCAATGTATTCTTAGAAAACCCTCCCAATTCGTGTCCATTTGTCAGAAACATTTAATCACAGACATTCTATTGTCTGTTCAGCGAAACCTGAGAGTATCGGATCTCTACCCTTAGGCGACTCACAACAAGTGATGAGGGGAAACGAGTTGCTGTGGCGACGTTAATCTGTTAAGGTTGTGGGGGGACAGGAGATCACCTATAGCAAAGGTGTCAAACTGGGGTCCACGGGCCGGATCCGACCCGTTAGTTCATTTCATCCGGTCCACGAATCCAACTTCACTAGTTGGTTTTGGAAAAGTGTTGAGTTCGCATAAAAATTTTTGGTGTAAGATTTTTTAGTGCGGCCCCCAACCACCCTCAAAGAGTTCCATCCGGCCCACAACTTAATCCAGTTAGACTCCCCTGACATATAGTCTTGATAAATTCAGCAATCGTCACACAGAAATACTTTCATCATTTTCTACACCTCAGGCAGCATGCCTCAACTGAGACAGCTCTGCCCCTGGAAATCTGTCTTTCCCCTTCTCGTTCCATTACTCATCCTTCAAAGTGACATGCCGAGCGATCCCATTGCTTATCAAAATCACTCCCAGGTTGGAGAGAACAGACTATATCATTTTTGAAAAGTGGCATTGTGTCAGAAAATTGATGGAAATGCTTACTTGATAAGTGCATCCTGGGTCAAGAGAGATTCCCAGAACTCGATCACGTCAGAATTAACGAGGTCCCGAGCCAGTCTTGGGTACACATCAATCACATAATGCCTGTCGTCTGCTTCTGTGTAAGGGAACCAGTGGGGCTCATTCTCGAGTGGATTCTGAGTTGGAGAACTGTAAGCACGGAACACACACCATAAAGTATTCAAGTATTTATCAAGCATCAGTTGATCGTTCTTGAAGGAACCAAAGATGATTGAATTCACTTACCCGTTGTAAGTGAAATTCATCCAAAGATCTAGGAAGCGGTTCCTGACCACCGCATCGTTAGATCCATCCTGTATTGGAGGGAAAAGCTGAATGTCGAAAAGAAAGGGTATCTCGTCAAAGTGACAAACTCCTGGAGGGGAAGAAAGCATGAGCGAATGCAAGCAAATCATGCCATCGAAGAACGAAGCTGTCTTCAGTCAATTATGTCAGATTTCTGGGATGTAACATACCATGTGGTTTTAGCATCCCATCAGCCAAATCTTCAGCCAATTGGATGTCCATGAGCCCAATCTTTCCCTCATACTCCAGTTTATATACGTAAGTTGGGGCTCTCCTTGAGTGAAGTTGGGCAGATTTCAGAGTCGAGAGGAAAAACAAACGATCAGACATAACCTGAGAAGGATTTCAGGCCACTGGAAAAGTTCAGCTCAACAGCACTAACGAAAGTGAGTGGCATACCCGTATCAGGTCGCTGATGGAGTCCATGTTAATGGGTAGCTCCTTGAAGTATTTACTGCGAATGGCTTCACATGTGACTCGCACATTCTTCACTTCTGGTCCTTCCAAGTAAAGGAAAAGGGGACAATAAACTTCATTCCACTTCTGATCGATTTCAGTGAACAATTCCTTCTTCCGAAGAGCAGCTGGAAAGCAAATATGAGCGCAACTTAAAAAGTTTGGAAGAGAGAATGTCATAAAAATGTGGAGTTGAAGCAGCGTACGATAGACAAGTAAGAGGCCCTCTTCTCTGTTAACCCCAGTCATCCAAGGAATGGCTGTATAGTCTCCACTTTGCAAAATATCCAGAGGATTGGCAGGCAAGAAGGGGGCTCCAGCCTCTACATCTACTCGTGGTGCAAACGCCAAGGATGAACTACCCAATTCCTATCGAAAAAACAAAGCAGCCATGAAAACAAAGCCGCCATAAATTAGCCATCTTTGCATCATGTTAAAAAAAAAGCAAACAATCAAGGAAACTCGGGAACTTCGTGTCACAAAAAAAAAGAAATTCAGGAAGTTTGTTCGAATTACTGTACTCAAGAAAATTAGCACAAAAATAAGAAAATATTGACTTCCAGTAAGGGTTCAAACCTCCTAAGACTTGTTATATTTAGAAGCTTCTTAATGGGAGCCCAGTAATGTTCCATTGCTATGTGCATTACTAGGCTATAACAGTCACTTCCAAAAAAAAGAGCTATGACAAAAAAAGACCAACAACTTTTAACCAAAGTATCCTAGCTTTCAATGGCACCTTTTTCATGAAACTTTCATAATATATATATATATAAGAATGTTTTCAACTTATTCTCAGGTTTTCATCCAAATTCGTCGGGCCGAAGCAATACCATCAACAGTTATAGAAAAGAAAATAGACATCGAGAATAGACTAGGGCTCCTGCTGGTAGTGGAGTGAAGGAAACACTAACATCAAGACCATGTTAAACTCCACTTCCATTACAATTCATCCTTATAGGTGGTGGTCATTTACAGATGATGTTCATTTCAAATGAATAGCAGATAAACAAATAAGTATCAATATAGAGAGACTTTTCACGAGTTTCATCCAATATTTCCCTTGGTGTATGTCGGCCTGAGTGTGTGGCTCAACAAATTCAGATGAAATTACGAGAATCAGTTGAAAACATACTCATATAGGCATGGTGAAAGTTCGGCAAAAATAGCTCCTTTGTGAGCAGAGAAATTAAGTCATTCATCTTTTTCTTTTGCCATACCCTGTATGCTATTTCGATGCTATTATAATAGCATTGAATTAACTTTAAAAATTTTCAAACATTATACCCAGGAGCCAAAAGAGGACAGAACAAGTATCTCAGCATCAACAGTTCGAAGACAGCTGAGCATGTTTTCACTGGAGTCAGTTGGGCAGCCAGCCATTTGAGCCAAAGTCTCTGCTTCCTCCTTGGATTTCTCATTTATTGTCCATGGAGCAATCGCTGTTCCACTTTGAGATATAGCATACCTAAAGAGCCCTGCACCAGAGAGCATATGAGATCAGCTTTTCTCCCTCCAATGACTCAATATATGTTCCTGATCACAATTCCTGTACCTTGTGCTCGTGGTGAGAGCATCAGCAGATGAACAGACTCAGAACCAGCACTCTCTCCAAAGATGGTAACTTTATCTGGGTTACCTCCAAAAGGTGCAATGTTATCCCTCACAAATTGCAATGCAAGCACTTGATCCAGCATTCCATAGTTGCCTGGAGCCACAGGATCCTCAGTCGATAGGAAACCTGTCTCACACAGAATAGAATGAGACTTATAGATTATGTATTGGTGTTTTTCTGGAACAAGAACAAAGCCTCACCAAGAGCACCAAGCCGATAATTGATGGTAACCAGAACTACGTCACGATCCATGATATATCCCGGAGAGTATATTAGTGGCTCAGAGCCTCCCATAGTATATCCACCACCATGTATCCAAACAAGAACTGGTAGATCGTTGGCACCTGTATTTGGTTCCTTTTTATGGAAAAAAGTAGGAAGAAAGAGAGAAAATGGACTTGGGTGAACCACGAAAGAGAAGAAAGTATATTTAAAAATGTATTATTTTAAATTAAGTCACACATTTTTTCAGCTGATTCAAGTACAGAAGACAGAGGTTTGAAAAAAAATAGTATATTTTGCTGTTGAGCCTGAATGAAAATACTTAATGAAGAAAACTAATTAAGGGTCAGAGTTATCAAGAGCAATAAAAGAAACAACTGAATAGGATATCACCATCCCTACCTTTGGACTGTAGATATTGAGGATGAGGCAATCTTCAACACCCAATATGAGTGGCTCTGTGGCATCTGCCCCTAGGAGAAGGGGCTGGATGCATTTTGCAGGCATTTGGGTTGCATCATAAACTCCCTGCCAAGGTTCAACTGGAACAGGTGGCTGAGATTCCATGCCAGGTTATCTTAATGAAGTGGGCAACTTTACAAGAGCTCAATCCAACTTCCATGATTTGTCTTACCTGGAATCGAAGTTCTTCCAAGGGAGCAATTGCAAAAGGGACTCCGGTGAAAGAATAGTAGTTTCTTCCACCTATTGACGCATTCACACGGCCCAAGAGCTTGCCAAGTGGTGTTTCAGCTTCTATAGTATCTTCTTGTGAGTGGCCAGATGAAAACAGGCCAGCAAAAATAAATGCCAGGTAAAGGCAATAGGATGCCATAATTTTTCTAAAAATAATATAAGGCAAAAACTACATCTCCTGGTAATCTAACAGAAATAGGATACATATTTTTTTTCCTTGAGCAGGTGTGCAGCTCCATAACCACATGCAGAATAAGTGTTCATCAGAAGGGAACCCATTCATAGTAGAGTCACATCCACCATTAACTTAATTCAATCCAATGAAAGTATTTTGTACACCAAGTAAGTAACAGCATGCAAGGGAAGAAAGAATAATGCCTTGAATACAGAATTTCACCTCTAGATATATATATATATATATATATATAGGGTGCCAAGACATGTCACAAATGTGTCCAGAGGATGGTAGGATACAAGGATCAAAGGCAGAGAATGGCTGGGACTCGAACCTGTGACACAAGCGCCTATTGGATTGCGAGCCCAACACTGAAACCACTAGACTACTTCCCCTGCTCAAAATCCTTGTATCCTACCATCTTCTGGATACATTTGTCACATCTCTCAGCACCCTGATTTCTGAATTTACGCTGTGGATCATATACCCATACCCCATTCCCTTGAAAACTATATATATATATTAGGTTGTTGCAAAAGTCCTGTCGGTATTGACAACTTTATTTTCTCAACTTTAGAGCGTTGCAACAAGCGAGGCCTAATCGACCACATATTCGCCATAGTTGCAGATGACCTTCGTCCATCTTCTGGGCAGGTCATGGATGCCTTCTCTGTAGAAGGACTTGGGCTTCGAGGCGAAGAAGTCTGCGAGGCCGGTTTCCATGGCCTGTCGATTGGTGAAGCTCCTCCCAGCCAGGTGATTTTTCAGCGATCGGAATAGATGATAGTCAGAAGGGGCAAGGTCCGGGGAGTACGGTGGGTGACAGATCACTTCCCAGCCGTACCCCTGTAGCGTGCTGCGGTAGCCCAGGAGACGGATCTCGGGACACGACATCGTTATGTCTTGCGGGCACTGGACAGAAACGAGAACCACAACTATAACGAACGGCGAAAGAAACCCGAGAAACGGCACGGGAAACCCCAAAGAACTCCCTCCCAGGGGCAAGGTCCGGGGAGCACGGTGGGTGACAGATCACTTCCCTGCCGTACCCCTGTAGCGTGCTGCGGGCGACGTTCGCGACGTGTGGGCGCGCGTTATCGTGTTGGAAAAACACGTGGCCTGCCCAGTAAGGATCGGAGTCCAGTTTCGCTTTGAGATTTGCCAGCTGAGTAGTGTAAATGCGGGCAGTGACCGTTGGGTTCTCTGGAAGCAGCTCCCAGTACTCAACTCCTCGTTGGCTCCACCAGATGCACAGCAGCAGCTTCTTCGGGTGCAGACTGCCTTTTGGCTGTACTGGAGGCTTGGAACCGGAGCGCAGCCAGTGGTGTTTCCTCTTGGGAGTATCGTAGAGGACCCTCGACTCATCCCCAGTAATGTGGTGATCGAGCCAAGCATGTGTCTGGCGCTTCGTCAAGAGTTCGGTGGCTCAGTCGACCCGCCTGTCCTTGTTCGCCTGTGTAAGGTCGTGGGGCACATAACGGCCGAGCATATTCATTAAGCCGAGCTCGTCCAGGCCACGGGATACGGTGGAATAGTGGCAGGAGAGACTTCTTGCCAATCCGCGTGTGGTCTGCTGGCTGTTGCTCTCCAGCTCTGCTTTCATGGCATCAGAATCCAACTCCGTCGGGCGTCCGGACCGCGGTCTGTCTTCGACGTCGTAGTCTCCAGAAGAGAATTTGGCAATAGCTTCTTCGGGTGCAGACTGCCTTTTGGCTGTACTGGAGGCTTGGAACCGGAGCGCAGCCAGTGGTGTTTCCTCTTGGGAGTATCGTAGAGGACCCACGACTCATCCCCAGTAATGAGGTGATCGAACCAAGCATGTGTCCGGCGCTTCGTCAAGAGTTCGGCGGCACAGTCGACCCGCCTGTCCGCCTGACTAATTTGGCAATTGAAGGCCAGAAGGTGGAGTTACATGTTAATGATGCTTTTTTTTCAGGTGAGTTGGCAGGATGGTATGTCATGAATTCATATGGTGGTCAAGGGATGCTCTATGTAAAGGAACATTATCGAAGAAGAGGGCTTGCAAGACTCCTTATTGGTTGGGTGTCTCATCATATTGTGTCAACATTTGGTCTCATTCCTTATGTCGTTGTTGTTGATGATAATCCACCATCATTGGAGCTTTTCTCCAGGATTGGTTTTCATAAATTTGGATCCTGTCAGTGGATTTTCTGTTCTCCAGTGGAGAACCCTTCTTCATCTATTCTGTAGCAAAATCAATTTCAATGTAGTCCGTATATGGCAATGTGGTGCATTGGAAGATAGGATGCCACAAATAATATTTCTGAACTTCAGTATAAAAGAAAGTAATAAGCAAGACACTGCTTACTCATGCTTATTGCTTACTCGTGCTTATTACTTACTCATGACTGCCTTGGTTCATTAGATGTATACTTGATTTTATTCTTGTAGACATAGAGGCAGTTCATAATGAAATTTGTCAAGGTTGGTCAAATTCTGCCTTTCTTTGCTCATTATGCAGTGCAATATTACATCTGCATGATGCTGATGCACTGCCTGGAGAGCTGAACTCTTTGGGTCATTTCATGCACTCTGCAGATAAAATTTAGCCTTCTCAATGCAAAATTCTTAATAATTTCTTTGTAGTTTGACCACTTTTGATAGATGTCTTAAGGCAGATGCACACTGACTACGAAGTGCTATGACGAAGCTGCACTGTGACTGTCTGCAAAGCATCATCCACACTGGTCACAGCTCCCAAGCGAATTCATATATGGCTGTGTACAATTTGAGAGCTTGTGCTACAACACTTTTGCTTTTTGTAGGTACAGTAAGCAGGTACATCCTGTACACAGATCCCGTCATCAGATGAGAGAATTCGAGACCCTACTAGAAAATATCACTGAAGACAAAGAGTGTTTTTCTCCTGTCTGTGAGAATGTCTCTTGAGCTGTTCAAGACCCTTTTTGATCTGCTGGAAGAGAGGGCAGGACACAAACTTCAGACCATGTATTTCCCTGTGCAAATGGTGGCAGTGTCATTGAGTTGGGTATATGCATACTCCATACATAGATTCTGAATATCTCAAATATGTACAAATCATGCAGCACTCTCCTGAAGGAGGGGATGACTCAGGTTTTTGCACTCAAAGAACAAGAGCTTCTCAACTTAAAAAAATTTTTAAATTAGAATGCAGGAAATGAAACAATGGAAAATCATCAGGAACATAATTGATATTGAGACCTTTCTTGAAGATTTTTAAATTCTAGGTATGTATCATGTTCATGGAGAGCCAATGGTGATGATCAGCATCATCTACCGCCGATGTCATTCCACCAAAAGAGCCACCAAATTAAGTATCCAAGGATTTCATAACTTGCAGGCAATAGCTATGCAGCTTGGACCACTGTGAAGATATAACAGGATAATATCATCCAGTTCCATTGCGAAGTGTACTGTGAAGGTCCCAGGCATCTCCAATGCGACCAATTGCGACAAGCTGTGATGGTCACAGTGGTTGCAATGCAGCTCTTCGCAGTCAGTGTGCATGGCCCCTGAGGCAGAGTTCGTACTCATGCTGTACAGCATGTACAACAGCAGCAAAATCCAATCCAACACAGGCATGTTGCATAGGACATTAAGCAGTTGCAGCATCCAGCATGCTGTACAGCATGTCCAGTTGTTGGACTGCAAGCCTGCAATGCATAAAAAAATATGTACATCAGCTGGATGTCACTTTTTTTTGGCAAAAAGTTTGCCAAATGGATGAGTGGGGTAAGCTGAAATAGATGCTTAAAGAGTTCTGTGTCATCTTCCATGCCCCTCCTTATGCATGAGAGCCTCAACTCAATCTTTCAGGATAATCCCCAATGTTCTGGGCCACATTCAGATCAGGAGAGTTTCCAGGCCATTCTACATTTCCGAAGAAATCCATACCTGAGTCTTTCAGCATTTGCTGCGTGGCCAATGCTTTGAAAAGTAGGGCTTCATCATGCAGAAGCTAAATGTTCAATCTTTTTTGAAGCCCACCAATGGGTAATGAATTCAGCTCCAGCATCACAAGCTTCTCAGAACACAATAGCACAAATGTGATCAATGAATCACACCATCATATGACATCAGAAACAACAAAATGGGATTGAATAGAATCAAAATTGAACAAGGATTCCAAATATGTATTTAAAATGTTTCTAGCTCCTATAGTCTAGGCTGTGGAGGAGGGAGGCCTTCTACATGCAACACCCGGTACAATGCAGTATAGTAGGAGTACGAACTTGGCCCTTCTCGTCAGATTAACATAGGCAAAATCCAAGGTGCCCCTAGGATTCCCTTCCCCTGGCTGGGAAATCCAGACGTTTTGAGAATATCAATAATAATATTATGTCAATGCCGGTGAAAGGGCAGGGAACAAATTGTATCAACCTTCCCCTTGCTTGTGGCTCTTGCCCAGTTGAAGACAGGTGAAAGAGGAGCTATTGATAAGTGCAAGAAATAATATTTTCAGAATGTCCAGTTTTTTTAAGGGACAACACCAACCTTTTGTGTCCCTCCTCCCCAAATTCATTTGTGGAGGGCACCTGCCCCTTTTAGGTGTGTCTATGGACACAATTGCTGTGTAGGTGTCCCCTTTGCTATAAGGGGTTTTCCCAAGGTGAAATGATGTGTTCTCAAGAGAATACATATGGTGATAAGTAGGGAGTAGATTTTCATACTCTATATATCTCTAAAATATATTTTCATTTTGTAAAAAGAAGGTAAAATATGCTCCAAAAATGTTTCAATGGATAGCAGTAATGTTTTATTTCTATTCTGGAAACTTCAGTAATTGCAATTGGAATTGTCAGAATGACACACCATCATTTCAAAACTAATTTGGGCTCAAATTTTGGCAGTTGGATTTCTAAGTACTAAATTAAAGAACTGAATTGCACAATGGTCAGGATCAGCATTGAGGAGTAGACTTGAGCAGTTTCACATAGACTAATTCAACTCCAGAGAATTCATGAGTTTCATGCCAGGATCCTCCAATCTCTAGATGACAGGAGTTTTCAGAAAAATAAAACAGGAGCCTCAAAAAAGTACTAGAGCCCCAAGACATGAGAGACCAGAAAGATATGGTATATTTATTATGGAAAATATGCTCCAAAATGGTGATTTTTAGCATTTCATACTATGACTACCAAAAATTCAAAACATGCCTCATGGAAGAAAAAACACCTTTTGATTCTCATTGATATGAATGCCCTGGGTGCAGCATGAAAATGGTCAAAAAGAAAATAGCATGCTATAGCATGAAAATCCACTCCCTAGTGATGAGGTTTGACTTCCAAGAATGACTTGAATTTCCCCTTCCCTGCCATCCATTCACTTCTTATTCCTAAAAATGACTGAGTTTGTCATTCATAATTGATGCCATATGGATGTAAATAAAAGAGCATTATTTTCTTTGCCTGAAGTAGTGCAGAAAATGGAAATGAAAAAAGGTTACTTTGCTCTATTAATGAGTTGCCTTATCATGTCAATATCATTTTTTCCAAGCAGGCCACAATACAAAAATTCAAATAGCAAAGCATCCATAGCACTCATACCCCTGTAGTGACAGGCTAGCAATATGCAAGCATACATCACTTCAGGTGTTAATGCAACATATGCTTAGTTCTTGGAATTTTCTTGCACCATGTCCCATCATTGGGTATTTTACCCTAAGATACTCTTGAAATGAAGACCAAATCTGGGGAAACTCATTTATTTCTCATCAAAACAAGGAACCAATGTTCATTTGTTTGTACTTCATATGAATGACATTGTGAAATGCATGCATCCATTGAGCAAGTATCACAGTGAGCGAGAGTCATGCTTTTTATATCAGAGTGGAGCATCAACTAATTGAATGCCATCATCACGGTGATTTTGATTGATTGTCTTCTGTTGCTTATAATGTGGAAGAGCATACTGCAACTTCTCCCAGAAACATGGCTCACCATATCGGATGTAAGTGTTCTGACTCACATATAATTGCATTTCCTCTGGCAAATCAGGGGGTAACTCCCCCATCACAATCACAATGAGTCGATTCATTTGTGTCTCAATCTGATGATTGAAAGCAAGTCGAAACTCTGATTGGCACCATGGACTTGCAACATATGCAGAGGAAAGAATGACCAGAGTTCGCTTAGAAGCACTAATGGAATTGATAACATTATCATGGATCTGAGCCCCTGGCAACCAGTTCCTAAAGTGCAGGAGAAGTGAAAAATGTGGTTCTTTATCCTCAAGATGAGGCCGCAGCTCTCCAACAACAAAGGCCTCGTCTTCCTGAGCATAACTGATGAAAGCATCATAAGTGCGATCCTGATCAAGTTCCTCTTCCAACAGGATGCAAGAACAGTAGCCATGAACAAAAAACCAGAGTCTCAGCACTTTCCAGTATCGATAATATACAAATACAGTTCCAGTAGATAGGATTGCAATAGAGACAATCACACTGCTGATGATGAGGACCTGAACAGGAAGGACAGGACATATATCCCCCAACGTCAGCGATATCAGTCTCTCCTCGCCACATGTGATTGCATCCATATCCATCACTATACTGTAATTGCTCAGCAAAAATTGATAAAGGGGTACAACAGAACAATTACACTGCCACAAATTGTTGCCAAGCCGTAACTGCTTCAATCTTGAAAGCAACTGAATGGTGTAATCACTCAAGGACACAAGAGAATTGTGATCCAGCCACAATTCCTCCAGTTGTGATGGAAGAACTACATTATCAAGGTTTGAAATATTGTTGAAAGTGAGGAACAAAGAGGTTATATTCTCAAAGTAAGATCCATTTAGGGATTTGAGAGAATAAAGTTGGTTGTGCCTGAGGTCCAATACCTTGGTATTCTGAGGCAATGAAGGGGGCAAATTCAAGAGAAAGGCCATACTGCAATTGACTTCAATAGTGTCAGAGATTGCAAAATATTGGCAGGAACAAGGAGCAGGACAATCAGATTCAATTGGGCAAGCCAGGGTATTCAAAGAGACATTATTGATGGAAATCCCTTTAAGTTGAGGGGGGTTAGCACAAACTGATCTTCCAACATCAAACTGCAAAAACTTTGGAATACCATTCCATCTTCCATCTTCCCTTTGTAGGTAACCAATGAAATGGAAGGCATTGCAATCACAGACAAGAGAGCTTCCATCCAGCAAAATTTTAAGATTTCTCTTTGTTTCTTTCAATTGGGTTTGCACAATTTTATCATAATCAGACATCAGAATATGTTTTAAAGGGTTATTCCTCAGATCAATTAAGAGATCATCAGATATGAAGTTGAAATCAAGGCTGGACAGACTCTTGATAGTATTGGAACGAAGGTCAAGACGATGTAGGTATGTGAATGTCACACGCCATTCTGTAGGGATTTCAGAAATGTTGTTGTATGCCAGATTAAGTTCCTGAAGTTTATCACAGAAACGGAATGGAGAGAGAGTCCTGATATTTGGGCTTTGGACAGATCCTGAAAAGCTTAGGGAATTATTTGAGAAGTCCAAAGATATAATGTCAATGGAAAAGGTAAAAGTCTTGTCATTTAATTCATGGAGGAGGTTGTTTGCCAAGTTCAATGTTTCCAGGTTCTTCACTGGATGAAAAAGAGATTCTGGGATAGCCTCCAGCTTGTTGGAACTCAAATCTAGCACTTGCAGTAAAGTGTTTGTTTGAAAGAGGTCAGCAGGCAATAACCTTACACGATTCCCCTTCAAATCCAAGTTACGGAGCTTCTTCAAGCCCCTGAATTGGTCCTGAAGCAGTACCTCAATCTGATTATCATTCAGGGTAAGATTCTCCAAGCTGGTAAGCTCTTGAAAAAGATCATGAGGAAGATCCTTGAGAGCGTTGAGATGCAAATACAGTTGCTTGAGAGACATTAACTTATGAAATATCTTTCCAGGTAGCTCTTGTAGTCTTGGGTTGCCAAATAACTTGAGGGCTTCTAATTTAGGTTTGTATGCAAATATATCAACATCCAGTGTAGATATCTGATTGAGGCCTAGACCCAGATAATGTAGTGATGTGAGATTCCAAAATATGTCATGTGGAAATGTGGACAACTGGTTGCTTTGAAGCTCCAACACTTCCAGAGAATTGAGAGTCTGAAACAAGAGAAAAAGTAAACATTTTTCACTGTTAATACAATTCTCACCCCAACTGATAGGCATTAGGTAGGTTAGTGAAAATGGAATCCTTGATTTTTCATTCATCTCCCAGCTGAGATTGTTCAGAACCCACCTTCCTGATGGGAAACTGTAATGAAAACTGGTCCAAGTGACCCAGAATGATCCATATTAAGCTTAATTTAGATTGATCCAATTTATGAAAAATGACAACATACACAATTATATCAACAGTTGGAAGCTGAAGTAACTTTGGAATGACACCATCTCAACTTGGGTCACTCCAAGATAATTAGGTTCAGGTTGGGTCACTTAGACCAAATTCTGTTATTAAGATAAGTTTGTCATTACAGCATCTGATCAATTAGGTTCATGATCATTAATATCAAACCACCTAGGCAGGAAGTAATCCACTCACTAAAATCCTATGATTCCTGACTTTTGTAACACTGAATAGTGAACAACTACTGACAAGTTCTAAACTTTCTGGTGAGCACAGCATGAGAAGTCACTTCATGGACAAAATCAGGGCTAGCAAATTCCATTTCCACACAACAGGGATAGGACAAACAATACTTTTCTTTCACATTGCACATCTTCAGTCAAAGATATTGCCTTCCAGACTAGATGGGATGTAGCTGCTATAGCTGCTCTGTACTGTAGCTGCTCTGCACAACCTCACCTTTTTCTTAGTCTCTAGAGAGAGACCTAGACACATAAGATAGAGGATTTTTTGATCCCTTCACTTCCTTGGGCTGGGGAGGGGGAACCCCTTTTTCGAGAAATCTCCACATCAGGATTCAAGAGGATATGCCATTTTCCAAATTCTATAAGCTCCTAGCAGAATGAGGCTGGGAGGTCAATGAATATTCCCCATACTAACTTGAACCCTTGTGACTTTGACCTGATTCCACACCTGAAGGAACCCCGATGGGGATATCATTTCTAGGTGTCAGATGTCCTTGGCATAGCAGAGAACATAGTGGCACCAAATATCAACTCAACTTCAAGTCCTCCTATATATGTTTAATATATTTTCATATTTAGATAGCCATATCAGATCACATATCCCTTAACATGTGTTGGACTAGTTGCATGCATGGTTGTTTCATTATGCAGTCTTATGAAATTTTCACAAGGGAAACTTACAACTCATGAGGATCATGCTGTCACTTAATTATTCCATTTCAAAGAAGCTAGTAAGGAAAGAGATCAAGGAAAGCTGAGAGTAAGAAAAAGACAAATTAACAGTTTGTGATCAAATTTTATGGCAGAATTCATTTTCCATTTACTTACAAAAATTAAGAAAAGTAAAAAAAATTGCAACACATTAGTTTGCTAACCATACAGAATAACTTCATGCTTTTCAATATATACAAAAACTTCCCTGAAATCAAGTCTTCCACAAGGATTAATGATTCACATGAAAAAAGTTAAAATACTCACTTGGAAGATCCTGGGGGACACTTGGGACAGGTTGTTATTCTCAAGGTTTAGACGCCTAAGTTGAATGTTCTCAAAGAATATCCTTTCAGGAAGATGACTGATATCATTTGAGCCCAATTGAAGCATGGAAATATTAGACAGGGGTGAAAATAAGTCTTCAGAAAATGAATCTTGCACCATTGTCCCTTCCATTGTTAGGCTTCTCAGATCCTTCAAAGCCTGTTCAAGAGAGTTCACAGTAGTCACACAAGAATAGGATAAAAACAACATAGCATCGATGCAAAAAACAGCATCATCATTAGCTAGAACAGACCATAAAAACCTATAAATGAGTACACTAGACAGACTCAAAGAGTTATCACATTTATACAATATATAGTTTTATGAAAATTAATGACTAATATTTTACCAGATATCAGATGTCTGTTGCCAAAATGGTAGAAAAATCATATCTACATCTCCCATAAACTTTTAGCTCCTGCATCTGATTCTCTGGACAAATGAGCCAGGGACTCATCAAACTGGGCCAACATGAAAGCAGGATGGCATAGGCAGATAATGAAGACAGCCCACATGAAAATTTCATATAAGACCATATATGAAATGGCCATATATTTAACCAGTCCAACATATAAGGGGCATATATGACCATATAGTACAATACATATATGAACATATGTGAAACATGTATGGGGTTTGACACAAGTCACATAAAATCATATAAGAATGAAAATATATGACCCCATACATTTTCATATATTGGCTCATACATATGCACCATACACTGTTCATATATGCCATGTCATACCTATGTATGGTGAGATTACCCAAAACATGTCTGTATCCAAAAAGGGTCCATAATCCATCAAATACTGTATGATCATTCATATGCAAGTCACCATACTTAACTTGCAATCAACTCATTTTCAACTGTTCATAGACCACAGTCAATTACTCCAAGAATGCATGTTTCATGGTGTTCAACATATGCACCCTTGTTAATGAAGGTGAAAGTTTCAATTATAGACTTGAACCTTCACAAGTATTTTCATCAGTAATGCTATTTCAAGACAAAACTTGGCTTACTCATGTAGAATTGTCTTCTTCATTTTGACTGACAATTCAGAAGATAGATGGGAACAGAAACTGTATTTCTTTCTAAAATTATCTGATGAAGGAATTGTTCAATGAAGGCAAGGCACAGCACGGCATGGCACGTGCCCCCACATTACAACAACAAAAAAAAAACATTAATACAAAGGAAAAGATACATGATAACATTGTCCCAGAGTTCCCATGCCCCCTCCTCCTCCCACTCTTTTTTAATCCACGATACACTTATGCTACCCAGAGAGGGTAGGGCCCAGTTTGAAATCCTGACTGGAATTTTTCAGGTGGACAGAAGCTGTATATTCTGACCATTTCCAGCTGGCAAAGAGCTAAAAAAATGGTAGATACAGGTTGTTTTACAGCTGGAAATTTACCATTAGAATTTTATAGAGAACCCTCCAGTTGAAATTCAGCTGCTTCTGTAGATGGACCTCCAGCAAGAATAACCAACAAAAACATTCTCATTCTACCAGTGTATTGCAATTAGGAACAATCTGGATCTGACTTTACTTTCCAGCTGCTACCCAGTTGGAATGGGTCTGAATTTCCAACTGAGGTTCAGCTGGAAATTATAGCTGTTTCCAACAAGGACTTTCAGCTGGGGGGTTCAAAATCAAACTTTTGGCAAATTACTTTAAGGGTTACGTACTTAATATTTCATGTAAAATACAATAGGTGCATTAAAAATAAGTTGCAGAGGCATCTGAAGGTCAATTGCCCTCATGTGTAACAACCTCATGCAGTGGTGTATTTTCTAGGGAGGCAGGGGAGTGCAACTGCCCCCCCCCCCTGGCATCCCTGGGACAGGGCTTGGTGCCTCCACTCTGCTGCCCTGTCCCCCCTGACTCTTCAACCAAAATACATCACTGACCCCATGCTATGTTTTACTTATAACCATAAGACTTGTCTATGCATATTCACCACATATCAGGCATGATGCCATTTGCCCATCATACATAATATTGCAATGCAGGTAAAATATATTATGCACCATACAATTGTTAATATATGAATACATATATGGTGGTGCATGGCAAATATATGATCATATATGATCATACATGACCATACAGAATCATACACCCTGTCATACATGGAATTTTCATGTGGGAGTCTTCTTCCCTATCTTATCCCTGTATATGTTTATCCTTCTCTCTCATCTATTATTATCCACTTTTACATTGCCTTTTACTCTGGTAGTCCCCTTCTCAATAGATGGGCCATACCACAAAGCAAGAAGCAGAGACAGCTAATTATTCTATGAATGGCATTTTAATCAATTCATAACTCTCTCTTAAGGCCTAAATTTAGAAAAGAAAAGAACATTTTAAAAAGAGAGAGAGAGAGAGAGACATGAACATTGTGGATACTGTTGAAGACCCTGTCTAGCTGATTTGTAAGCTTCAAGTTTTGGAATTGCATGGGTACTAGCACTGAATGAACATTTATCACCCAGCATAGATAAGAGAAACTTGGGGCTCTATTTATAACCAACTATTTGTGATTGTCTCTTAATCAGGTAAAATATTTAGAAAATTAACCATGCAATTGATTTTAAATGTCATTAAATTGACAGCCTAAAAAAAACTTCAGTCACAGATCATTTTGGTGATAAGAGGAGCCTGACCCTAAAAGCCATGTCAGCAATAGCAGACTCAATGGCCAATTTCAAGGTCAATTGTCACTTTCAATTACTTCTTGCACCATATGAATTTTTTTCTGGGAAATGTTATGAAACTTTAAGTAAAGCATCAGTTAGCTCCCAGATGATCAGATGCAGTGTTGGGTAGTCCCAAAGTTACGGACAAAACACCAGACTCAAAAATAAAATGAGTATGATGGTACACCTTAACCCTTTGACTGCCATTGACCCAATTGAGCCAATGTGGCATGTCCTGCTAAGACTGCCAATTATAGTTAAGTATAGTTATAGGGGTCCGGGAGGACAATAGAGTTATGATGATTGAGCTATCAGTTATTTGGGTCCAAGTATGGTTTTCGACCATGATCGAAAAGTATACTTAGACCAGGTAAATGGGCCACTTCATCTAATCCACCGATGTGGGAATTTTTTTCATTCAGGAACTTGTGCACAAGTTTGCTAAAATGTGGAGGTGCACCATCTTCTTGGAAAATCAGTTTTAATTGGCACCTGCTCTTACCCCTTGGACTTTTTCTTGTGCTATGTCAAGGACATTGTTTACTTAAGAAAAGTCAACAATCACCAAGATCTGAAGAACAGAATCTTACATCCAGACAGTTATGCTTGACACTCTGCATAAGGTGTGGCAATAGCTAAAACATAATTTGGACATATGTAGAGTCCCAAATGGTGTCCATGTGGAATTGCAATAACAGGTTTTAAAAATGTTTGAGTTACCCTTTTTTTTTTAATGTTTCCAAACCTTTTGGAACACCCTGTATTTATTTGTTCATACCAGCATGTTTCATTTCTGATCACCAGCTTCAGCAAGGTCAAATTAGTCTAAACCCAATTCACTCTGTCTTACAGCACTTCACGCAAGCTCCACAGCTGCCAAAATAGCAAAATCAACTTTTGGGAGACCCAGTATATGGATTTCATATATATCAACTATGAGTTGAGGCCTACAGAGATAAGATACCAGCCTAAATGAAAAACTTGTTATAAAACACACTTCCCTCCAATTAATCACAGAACTAGCTACAGTAAGGAGCCTCATGCATGACAGAGATGCAAAAATCTTATTAAGTCCCACCATTCGTTGCATTTATAGGCATGTGTGTCAGATCTAGAAGTTTTTTTTTGCTAAGAAATCTATTGCACCCTATGTTCAATAACTTCCAATATGGAACACCAGTAATAATGTAGTAAATATCAGTCTGAGGTTTCTGGAGTGAGATATGTTGAGGAACAGCATGAATAAGAAATGTGCAAACACAACTAATGAACAAATGGCTGAACACCGAACATACAGTATCTTCACATGGAAATCTGCAAGAAATGAAAAGCAAAAAAATATGCCTAGGCTCATTTAAATATAGGCCCTGAATTTACTTCAAATTTTACTGAAGTAAGAAGTGAAGTTTTACTATACTGCCCCAGTATAAAAATCTAAAAGCCAAGACCTTAAATTATATGTTGAAGGGATGCTTAGAATGAGTATGCAATAGGAGAGAAGTTTTCTTCCCCAACTAATGAGTAGACTCATTTGCATATGCCTGTCCACAAACTACAGAAAAGGAGGAAGGAGGAAACCCTATCCCTGGAGAACATACACAATTTTCTGTGTAAGCACTGACTGACCTCAAACATAGATGGCTTCAGCCCAATAATGCCTTGCCCCTGGAGAAGCAGAGCTCTAAGAGATGTCAGTCCAGTAAAGTGTTCCTGTGCCAGAGTCACCTGCATATCAGTCATGAACTCCAGGACAAGAACTTTCACATCATCTACTCCAAGAACTCCAAAGAGACCAGAATAGCTTGGCAAGTTGCTTGGGATTGGACAAAACCGGAGTTCTGCAGTCTTCACCTATCAAATATATAAATTTGAATTCATTGTTGATGTAATAAAGGTCTTCAACTTAGTTTCCAAGCACATAACATTCCATTTAATACACAGGGTTTAACAAAAATAAGTTCACAATTTTGAAGCTCTTCATTTTCTCAACCTTTTCATGGCTGAATTAAGAAAACGAATAACTAGGACATTTTTTCACTGCTTTTTCTATTGAACAGGCCATGCTGAAGACAGAGCTCGCAGAAAATGTCAAATATTCACTCATATATTCAAAAAAGGAATTTTTAAATTAAAAGAATCACCAACCAAAAATATTGAATAAAAGGCAATTGTTTGCACATGGGAAGCCCCTAAAACTTGGCCTTTGTCCTAAATTTATCCATTCATTCTTGCAGCATGCAGGTATATTTTTCCCTTTTCCAAAAAAATCAGAAAATAAATATTACTTTTTCATTCAAAATTCCATTTCACAAAAATCAAAAATATCAGGTCACAACTTTTCTTTTTGATCCAGCTTGCCTGAACTACAACCTATTTGAAAGAATGAAGCATTACCAAAGAGCTCTTTTCGAGAGCTAATAAGTGATACCAAATAAAACAGGTCTTGTTCAATGGTAGCCGCAAGAACAGTCTCAAAAGATATGATCCTTATAATGATCATACACCATGAAAGGGTTAATTTATAGTACGCTGAATGGCAACTTTCATAAAATATTAGTATCTATACAGTAGTATAGTGGTATATATAGCCTTAAAAAAAATTTGTTCACAATTATTTCAGATGTCTACAAGATGTACAATTGAAGAACAAGTTTATATTCTAAAGAGATGTTCTATGGGACAATGTCTGTCACACAGAAGCCATGAAATTGGAGAAAGCTCTTCAGTTTGGAATCACCATCCAAACACAATTTTGGATCAAAAAATCAATTTAGAGGCTATGATGTCAAGAACAGACAAAAGAAGTGGGCATCAAAAGACTTTTGCATATTCAGGGCATGGAAAGGTTTCAAAACCTTTATATAACCCCACTGAAAATGAGTGAATAAAATACTGTAATGGAGTGGGGCATACCGGGCCAAGATGGAGGCCATGAAGCAGGTTATAGTTCATCGGAGACATCTTCTGAGGACATTGAATGCTCAAAAGGCTACCCGGAGAGAAATGGAGTATGATGGGTGACAGGGATGCACGTGGACAGTAGAACACTTGACTTCCATCACCTCCTGCCCCACAATCACAGTTGGATGGACAGGATCCCTCAACCACCATTGCGATGAAGAAGAGAAACCATGGTATCGAACCACTCATCTTCAGCATTGGTTGTGCCTAAGTAGCAAATCACAAAGAGGCAATCAAAACCATTTCAATAACTCTAAAACCTGACCAATAGTTTGTCTTAATTTTATGTTCTGAAAGGAGTAGCTAAGCAAATGCCTTCATATTAAATCAGCAAATATATAAGTAGCAGGGCCTCATGTATCCAAAGCTCATTACTTCCGGAATAAAAAAATATATGGCAAAAAAACAGACCAAATGTTTACCAAAAACAATTTATGCTCCAACTATTGCTATTTTCATTAAACTTGCACCCTTCATAGGCTGGTACATTTGCATGAAACATTATATTTAATTAAAACTTACCATGCCAAAGCAAAGCAATACACAATTGTTCAAAATAAGTTGGATATTGAAAATGGACAGGGGCCCCAGCTGGAGCTGAAGGGAAGAAAAGAGCCTGTGCACCATGGGTCCATATGTAGAATCTTTTATTTATTTATTTTATACACAGCAAGGAATGAGATGCCTACTTGGCACAGGCATCACACTCCTTCAGGCAAGGATGCCCCTCTCCAGTCTAGTAGGAGGCCTTAGGGGCAGCTCACAGGTCACCTAAGGCCACAACTGGTGTGAGTGATTTTTAAGGTGGACTGCACCTCTATCTCCCGGACACAGCAAACAGAGTGGCTTGTGTGTTAGCCCATTCTAAGCAGACACTTCCAACGAAAGCAGGGGAGTAACCTGTTAGTGGAGGAACAGCCTGCCACCACTGGATTCAAATCCCTTGCCTTACAGGTTTCACTCAGAAACTGGAAACATGCAACCACCAAACCCAGTTATGTGCTGAATCTTGATTCTTTGTAGCAGCTGAAGTCCCTTGTCTTCTTTCTCTATTTTAAATTTCTTTAAATAATCATTATCACATTGTTTTAAAATGAACTTTTCTTACACTTCAAAATGCACATCAGTTTGTATATTGTACAAGTTTGTTATGTGAAGTGTTATGAAGGTCAAGTCAGGGGTCAAAAACCCTATTATTAGGCAGAGGAAAGGGACCATCCAAATCATTCCACCATATGGAGAAGTTTTTGGTAAGTGGGATACATGGTCTGATCAAAAAGTTCCAAGACTGAATTTTTAATGTTGCAGTGGTGATTGTTTCTGGCTACTGATAGTTATCTCCTTTTAAGTAGTCCTCTTCAGCATCTAAACAATTTTTCCAGTGTTTCTTTAGCTGCCAGAAGCATAGCAGATATTAGTCTACTTGGAATTGCCAACAGCGCTTGTGTCACATTTGGAGCTCTTTAGTTAATGGAACAAGAAGAAATCACTGGGAACCAAGTCCGGTGAGAAGGATGGATGATGAAGCATGAGGTTTACAGGGTAAGTCAGAAATTGCTGCACAGAGAAGACATGCTGGGCCTTGTCTTGCTGCAGGAATCCATGACCTTGCCAGCCACTTTCCTCTTTTATGCATATGGCAATGCTCAGACAAGAGGGCATAGTGAGGTAATACCAGAAGGGCAAATAGTGATTCATACTTACTACCTCACTGTGAGAGTGAGGAAAAAAGGAGAAAGTCTTTGCCTCCCACTTTTCTCACTTTTCAGAAAGAGAAAAGTGGGAGGCAAGATGATGGATTCTGCAGCATGACAATGCCCAGGCCCAGCACATCTTTGCTGTGCAGCTATTTCTGACCTACCCCATAAACCCCTTGCTTCATCATTCACCCCACTCACCAAACCTGGCTCCCAGAGATTTCTTCTTGTTCCATAAACTAGAGTGTGCTGAAAGGAAGGAGATTTCAGGGCATTCAAAGCAGAATTTAAAATGCAACTTAAGTGCTGTTGGCAATTCTAAAAGACTAGTATCAGCCATGCTTCCAGTGCATGAAGAAACATTGGAAAAATTGTGCAGATGTTGAAGAAGGCTACTTCAAAGAAGATAACCATCAGTAGCCAGAAAGTGTCACTACAGTGCCATAAAAAAAAATCAGTCTTGGAACAAAGTGGGGTGGAACACCATCTTGCACAAAGACTGCTCAACCATTTTATTAACTCAAATGAAAACTGCTTCAGGTTTTGTGACAATGGCTTTTATGCCCTTACCCAAGTGGTGTCCCCATAATAAGCTTTGTCTTCTCCATGGTCAAATTGGTCTGCACAACAATTTTCACAACATTGTGGCCATCAGTATGTTTGTGAGGTTGTCTGAATAGTGACAGAGACTTTTGAAATGCCCTGTACATATCAAACTTGTAAACTTATAGATATGTAACATTTTCCAATCCAATTTCATGATTAGATACTAGAGTTTCACATGGGACAATGCCTCACCAACAAGAACATAAGAAATGTCAGCTACAAATGAAATCCATGTACCAGAATGCCAAGTGTCTGGGTACATACTTCAAGGTGTAACATCCCAGGTACTGACTTTTATGTTAATCTAGACATAAGATTATAATCAGACTGATATTTATGTCCAAGGTAAAAGGTGAGTCTGACCTACCATATGAAGAGTTCCACATCTGATCCAGTGATGTATCCACGTAATGAAGAAGCCACGACTCTGCTGATACCTCAGATCTAAGCCTAAATTAGGCTAAAAATATGCAACTCCCATAGCATTCATCCATGAGGAAGCCTATATTGAACACTCAGCCATAAGTGCAATCCAGCACTGGAAACGGGAGAAAGATGAAAACTGGATGAAAAATTTATGAGAACTGGATGCCTTAGGATTTAGAATAATATAGGGAAACAAAGGATATGTTGTATGCCACTTTTGAAAATGCATATCTTCTTTCATATCTAATATATGCAAATGAAACTTTTACTTAGTTTTTTCAAATATAAGTTTAACAAAGAACATTGATTAAACAAAATTATCCTCACAGGAAAGAAATTCTAAAAGTGAAAAACAAAAAAAATCTACATGGACACTATTATGATCAATGACCATTAATAGCAACTCTCATATGGTTTGTTGAAATCAAGCATATATCAGTGTTCAGTGTCAGTTAGTTCAATGACAGACATGAATCTGTTGATCTGCCACTTCATGAATTATCTTCAACAAATTCACATCCATCACAGAAGCTTCCTATCCCATGATAGATACTTGATTTTGCAGTTTCCATACACTCTGAAAAGTCTCTCCATGATGCAAATCAGTTTCTCATTTCCTGATATGTGCAACTTTATGAGTACACATTGCTCCTCCTCTTTCAATGCCTTGGCTTCAGGTTGCAAGTAATAGCAACCACAGGTATGGATCAATCAGTATCTAATGGAACATTAAGGAATTCATGTTATAGATCAGATTTTGGGTTGCAATAAGAAAGTACAAATGCAATAACATATCAGTACAGACTTCCCAGAAATTAAAAGAAGACCCACAAAGCAAAAGCATGATAAATTTATTCAAATGTTAGATATCCTTTCTATCTCATCCAGGAATGAGAAACACTACAGTTAACATAACAACAAAATATTATAAATATCAATGGTTTGTTATAAATTCTGAAAAACATGGGTATGTTTTCCTGCTTTGGTGAAAATTTTTCTATACCCATGTTGATGTACATAAAATGTAAAATTAAAAATACTCAATCATACAACCCAAAAATATCAACAATTACATTTGTATACATTGAAGAACAAAAACATGAATTTTAAAAAGTGCCTAGTGACTTTTGGGACACCCTATACGTAGTTTCATGAATTGGACTACACAACTGAAGTTGCACTTTCCATATTGATAATTTAACATCCTCTGAATGGTATGAGCTGGGGGGGAAACTTCCCGTTATAAAGAAGTTAGAATTTGGAAGGGATAAGGCACAGAAATCAACATTCTTACTTGCCCATCCACTAAAAATGAGAATTTGATTTTCATAGAGGGGCAAAGTCCTCATTATATTGCTGACTCACATGTACAAAAGGCCTAAAGACAATGAACCATGACAAAAAAGGAAGCTTACTACCTTTCTGAGAAAGTGAGAATGAATTTCACTTGGACCTTCCTGTAGAAATTTCTTTATTTTCAATACACGAGTATGGCCAGGGTCAAAAATGAAACACTTCCAGGAAGCATGTATATGAAAAAGGAAGGCAGGGGTTATAAAACTATTAGATCTATAAGCATCCATCAAGTACTTCCTCTGAAAACCCACATGCATAGCATAATCTATCATTTTGCACACTCATGAACTTGGCATTTCCTCCCCTTCAAAATCAATCCTGTCGACTTTTCCCATTCAAAAAGAATCAGAACAGACATATAAGGATATTGACTTTATGGGTTCCATTTCAATGGGAGAAAATGGTCTTGTGAATGTCTCACACCATTGGATGATGCTGAACATCTTGTAAGAGTTGTTCACCACCAAATGTGAAAGCAGAAGTAAGCAAAATGATGCTTTCATTAGCTTTCCATCAAACCACTCATCAGCATGATTACTAATAAGAGAGATGTGACAGCATGAACCAATAAGGGTGATTATAGTTTCAATCTATTTTTATATATATCACTAATATTTGTTTCTATTACTGGTTCACCCAATGCAGCAACTCTTTAGGAGTGGAAAAGTGGAAGGATACCAGAAAATAACACTATACTGACCCTGCAAGAGAGGATAGAAGTAGACAAACTTCATCTGCATGGAATGAAGTATGATGAGGCACAAAATGCCTTTCAATGGAAGTTCCATGAGCCTGGCCCAACAGATGCCAACATCCATCTACTTGTCAACAACTTCAGATGGATCAAGACCAATGCAGATCAAAAACACTTCAGACATCCAAGTGTAAGCCAGGACACAATTGACAGGGTCAACCTGACCCTGACTGATGGAAATGAGTCCAACAAAGTCCATGCAAAGAGCATTGTCAGAACTGCAAATTCCTCTATCAACTGTTTTTGATCTGCAAGGGTCCCAGTAGTCCCAGAAAGTCTACTTGTTCACAAGTAGATGGATGTTAGCATCTGTTGAACCAGGTTCATAGAACTTCCATTGAAAGGCATTTTACACCTCATCATACTTCATTCCGTGCAGGTGAAGTTTGACTACTTCTATTCTCTCTTGCAGGGTCAGCATGGTGTTTTTTATAGTATTCTAAATTTTCCACTTTTAACCAATAGCTGCATCAGATGCACCTGTTACAAATATTAGCCCTAAATATCAAAATAGATCAAGATTTTATAATTGCCCTGTACATTAGTTTCCAAATAGATGCATCAGTTACATATCCCTAGGCTTGATGCCTTCATCAGTCAAGTGTTCCCGAAAAGTGAATTTACATCTTCCACTTTCTTGGGATCATAAAAATTTGTCAGACCACTCCATTGTACTGTTCTCAAATAACTTTTTTACCTGTCAACTCCTTCATTTTCCACCGTTTCTATTGGCCCAACTAATGCCAGCAGAATCAGTTTCCTCTGGTCTTATATAACATGAAGAGGTATTTGGTAGATGTCCTTAATGCCAAAACAACAGCAGCACCAGTGCTCTTTTGGGTGTGTAAAATCATAAAAACTAATTTTTAAAAACTAGAGGAAAAACTGGACTAAAACAGAAAGCCTATAAAAGGTTATGTAGGAATGGAAGCAATTTCTTTCTCATTCTCTCAATGGCAAAACCTGCATCCTTGATTGCATCTGAATTTAGGCCCCCTTACAGCCCATGAAGATAGTCTCATTGTACCACTAAGTACCATGGGTCATCAGTCAGCCAAGTTTTATTGATCAGAACGTCAGAAACAAATGAAGCTGGGGGACCTCAACTCCTGATATGATAGAATCTCTGCACCTAGGGGTATCCCTATGCACAAAGGCATGGGTAGGCCTGAAGTAGAATGAAATTAGCATAACAGTTAGATCACAAGATTGAGAATAGGCATCACGTTAGTGTTTTTCACTTCAGTCAAGCAATTTTTCACTTGACTTAGGCCCTTATGGGAAGGATGTTACTCACCCTTGGGAGTCAAGCAAAAACGCTTGCTCAAGTCAAAAACAGTACTTAAGCCTATTACAGTGTTTTTCACTTGACTCAGACACAAGTGCATTGGACGTTCCTCATGCATGAGTGTCGAAGTCTTGTGAAAAAGTGTCGAACTGAAGTGAAAAACACTGCAGTTACCTCGACGCACAGGTCCGAGTTTGGGCCACAGCTCAAGCTGCTGCAGCATTTTCCACAATCGTAGTAAAGGAAGGGAACTCGGACAAAAATATATGGGCAGGCCTATGCTTACACCTGTAACGTAAGGGCGTATATCTTCCGTCTCGATTCAGTCACTTGGCTGAGGGAAGGGGTCTGGGGAAGTCCAGGGAAGCGAGCAGGACGCCACGGGCATGCGCAATCCTGCATATGACGGTGCACGTCCTTGGCGAATTGTGCAATGAACTCGCCTACGGCTTCTGAGCCAAGAGCACGTGCATCAGTTCACGTGCGTCTTCTATAGAGTGGTATTCTATTCCTACGAAATGTAACGCCAAATCGGAGTTGGGGGCAAAGGGGCAGTGGCGTACTTTGCCTGTGGAGTCGGGCGGGGGGGGGGGGGGGGGGGGGGGGGGGGGGGGGGGGGGGGGNNNNGAGGGGGGGGGGGGGGGGGGGGGGGGGGGGGGGGGGGGGGGCAGGGCAGCAGAGCGGGGGCGCTATACCCACCCGAGAGATAACAGGGGAGAAAAGTATTATCTCAAACGGGGCGCAAGGCTTTATCACGGGGCGCCTGGGGGCGGCCGCGCCCCTGCCCCCCACCCCCATAAAATACGCCACTGGATAAGGGATTTGTAGCAAGCTTCGAAAATAATCGGTGAGAAGTCCTACTATATACACAGGGTGGTCCATAGTAAACCTATTTTTTAAATATTCTAGAGGCTGCATCATTGCGTCCAGTAAAGCAAACTATGCCAATGTATAAAAATTTGGAACCGTCGAGATCGATTGAGCATATTTTTTCCTGAAGAATCTCTCATCCGAATGGAGATAAGTGCATTTTTTCTGATCCTCATACTATTATAAGAACTATATTAACTAGGTATTATAAGAATTATAGACCAAGTATTGCCATAGTTTGCTTCCGTGGACGCAAAGATAAGAGGGCCACTTGAAAAGTTATCTACCTGAGTATGAAAGAGGAGAGGTAAAAACTATTTCTTAGCAGCGTTAGATACATTGGCCTAAAAGTATTACTTGGAGGGATACTTCTTGTGGTGAAATCCCTTCTTTTGTAAGGAACTTCATAACAGCTCGATACTCCAGCTTCGTCTTGTCCATTTCAACAATTTTCAATGTGCTCTCAACTACATAGCAGAAACGCCACTGACCTATTGCTCTCTCCAAGTAATTCTTATAGGCCAATGTATCTAAAGCTGTTAATAAATAGTTTTTACCTCTCCTCTTTCATACTTAGGTAGATAACTTTTCAAGTGGCCCTCGTACTGACTCTACGGAGAGGAAAAAAAAACCTGTTTATTATGGACCACCCTGAACGGCCCTGTCGACAAACCTTTCTCCAGTACAATGATGGCGTGTAGTTGGATCATGCGACAGGAATAAGTCTAATTTATTCTGACCAATTTTAATCAAAAAGAAAAGGTTATTGGACAGGACTTCATGGTTCTGTGCAGCAGTCTTGTCCTTTTTAGGCTCATTTCTCCTATAATCAGTCCAGGGAGTAATGTTTACAATACAGT